CAAGCAAGCAAGCAAGCAAGCAAGCAAGCAAGCAAGCAAGCAAGCAAGCAAGCAAGCAAGCAAGCAAGCAAGTAAGCATACAAACAGCCAAACAAACAAACAAACAAATAAATAAATAAATAAACAAACAAATAAATAAATACCTTACTTCAGTATGCTAGGGAAGGTTTTCCCATAGGGAAACAACAGCTTCCCAAGCCTGCAACTTGGATTAATTTTCGTTTAATTAACCTTGGCAGAGTAACAGTTACAAGGGGCATTGGAGGTCTTCTAGTCCAACCCCTTGCTCAGGCAGGAAGCCCTATATCATTTCAACAAATGGTTGTCCAATCTCTTCTTAAAAACCTCCAGTGTTGGAGTATTCACAACTTCTGGAGGCAAGTCGTTTTACTGATCGTTCTAATTGTCAGGAAATTTCTGTTAGTTGTAGATTGCTTCTTTCCTTGATTAGTTTCCATCCATTGCTTCTTGTCCTGCTTTGGAGAATTAGTTGACCCACCCTCTCTTCTTTGTGTCTGCCTCTTAGATATTGGAACACTGCTATCATATAACCCCTAGTCCTTTACTTTATCCAAATAAACATACCCAATTCTTCATATGTTTTAGCCTCTGGTCCCCTAATCATCTTTGTTGCTCTTCTCTGTATAGATCAATACAATAATTCAGTAAAAGTATCTTTCCAGGCATATTACAATATAGTACCTGAATTCAGAGCAGGGGCTGGTAGTCTGTTCAATTAACAGGGAACACTATAGGATCTCAGATGATGGCACAGATGTTGAAAAATGTCCACTTTCCAATATCTTGCAAAGTTAACCATGTGACTCTTGTAAGATTTGAGATTTTGCCCATTAAAAATAATAATGATAAAACAAATTTAATTTCAAGAATCTTTGGGTTCTACTTAAGTGTTGATGGTACTTTGGTGTTGATTGTCTCTATGGCTGCTCATTAGGAAGAAAAGACAGAGGAAACTCTGCCTATAGATATCGATATAAAATTATATGCATTTATCCCATTCAGGTGCTTGTCTAGATGGCTAAACCCTCCAGTTTCATGGTGGCTAAGCAGGTTTTCCAGTATATGCAGAAATGTAAAGGTTTTTACTCTATGCTTTGCGTAAAGAGCTATTATTCTTTTCCTCACATCACTTGGTTAAATTAGTTCTGCACTTTTGCAATAACTCATCTTAAAAAGATGAATTTTATTAACAATACGAGTAGTCCATACTGGGCATTTTGGTTTGTACATAAGATTATGAATTTCCATGTGGTCCTTCTTGTCACACTCTATCTCTTCCTGAAGAAGAGGATTCAAATTTCCCAGCTCCAGCCCTGTTCATGATTCTAGGAGGTGTTTAAATTTGTTGGCCAGATGTGGCTGATACCAGAAAAGCTGAGATGGTTCAGGTCTAGTAAGTATTGGGATAGAAAATCTACAGGGAATCCCAGGGCTTTAATGTAGATTAGGAAGTTTTAAAAAAAATCTGAAGGAAATGGTAAACCAACTTTGTATTAGTAGAAAGAAAATCCACACATTTCCATGAAGTCCCCCCAAAAAGAGCTCAATTCAAAGAGAAATTTCATTCCATGTCATGGATTTGTTTAAACTAGAAAAATGTAATGAGAATCATACCACACCCAACTTTCTCTTTCCAAAGTGACAGAGAAAATAATGTTTCTCACACACACAACAATTGATAATATAAAAAAGTATGTACTGTAGGTATAATTACTCACAAAGTTGAGGAAACCTATGAGTTGGCGTAGAACTAAGCAAAGACAAAGAATGCAGTTCAAACAAATGGGGACTTGGTAAAAAATGACTTTGTAAATTACATTGTTAAGAATGCTTCCAGTTACTGGAAAGGGGGGGGATTATGGCATAGTTGAGAGACTTGATATTCTAAACAAAACAAAATAATCGAGTTCAATATTTACATCTGATCCAGGTTACTTGTTTTCAATCAGCCACTCATCCTAAAATAAGCAAAACCAAGTAGTTATTTGCTAGTTGTAGGCACACCTACAGGGCTGGGTTACACTTATACCCCATATGTTCATTGAAGATTACTTAGTTTGCTCAGAATCAAGTAGTAAAACTTTTCTGGAATGAAACACCTTTTATTGGTAGTGGAGACTGGCTACTAATGAGCCTAAAATGATTTGAAAATTGCCTTCACTCTACATAGAACAGGGAGTGGAACCTCCAGCTTTAAATCCAACTATATTTCGCAGTTTCACTTCATGTAGTCCTTGGCCTAATTTCAAAATGAAGATTGAGAGAGAGAGAGAAGATGGGCAGTTCCACCTACTTGTGATCTCACCCAACTATTGCACATTGTGGCCATAGCAGTTTTCTCAAGGAATGTGGACCTTGCGGGAGAAAAGTTTGCTTATTTTTTTATTTAGACAAAGTAAAGTTAAGGTAAAAACCAATTTTTCCTCTGACATGTCAGCCATTTTACTATGATTATTGCTTTGAACCTGGGAGTTGAACAAGTTGGATGTAATGGGCAAACCTGCTGATCAGGTAGAACAAGGTGCATCATTTGATAGATAAAATTCAGGTAATATATTAAGTGAACTATATAGTTAACCAAGTGCTCTCTCTGAGACCATATGTGTGGAATGTACTAAAAAGGGGGAAAAACCAATTAAAGAGGAGACATACCTTTCTACTTCCAATCCCAGCTGTGAAAGTTAGGACCAATAGACATTGGCTACCTTTCCTCTAGTTTGTTGATCCTGTCTATTTGTAAATAAAATGAAAATATTATAAATGCTAATCAAGTTCATTAACACCCTTCCTTAGGAAGTTGCATCTACTTCAGGTCCCATGTTAAGGAAACTATCAATGCTTTGGAAAATGGTGTATCACTAACACAGTACAAAAAGAGATCTTGCCTTCTTTGCTTACATTAAGCAAGATAAAATAATTAATATTGTTTTAAGAATAATATGTCTGTTATTGTGAGGAAAAAATAAATCTGTCTACATTTTTTTTCAGCTGAAGAAATGTTAACAGTATTTTTCAATAATCATTTCCCATGATGATCAGTAAGAAAAATTTAGGACATTCAGACTTTGGAGATTAAACCAAATCTCTCTAATGGCCTTGTAGTCTAGGTTTCTTTTCTTGTTGTAGATCATAGCAGAAAGAAAAATAAAACTATACTGGGGTGAAATGTCAGTAATTAAGCTAGCAGATATTGGCATGAAAGATGACCCTGCCTCTCTTTCTCATGA